ATGAGCCGTCTGCCAAGCGTGAGCTCGAAACCCCTAAACGTGAGGAGCAGGGCGCTATAAAGGCTGAGAAGCATGAACCCGAGGGCGATGCGGAGCACGACGCCGCCGATGATGACGACGGGCCGTGCTTAGAGGACTTGGACCCCCACACCCGTGCTGCGATCGAGGCCCTCAAGAAGCGTAAGGGCAAGCAGAAGGAGGAAGCGAAGGCGAAAGCCGCAGCTAAGAAGGAAGCTGCGAAAGCAGCTGCAGAGAAGGACGCTGAGGTCAAGACTGAGGCGCCAGCACGGAAGCGCCCAGCAGCAGCCGCTGCTTCCATTAAGCCCGCCAAGGCTGTAAAGACCGAGCCTGCCGCGGCTGCAAAGGGTGTGAAGAAGCCCCGTGCGGCTACTGCCGACTTGAAGCCGATCCCGAAGTCAAAGATCATGAGCGCAATGCCGTCGATGCCAAAGGACGGTTCGAACCCACCGCCAGTGGTCTACAAGCAGGGCATAATCTACACGAGCCGCACAGCTTTTCGCTTCCGTGCTCTCAGAGAGCGCGGCAATTCATTACGTTTAGCGAACTACCGCCAGCCATCGCACCGCTTCGTCGAGATTGGTTGCCCCCCTCACCCCTTCCCCCGCCGACCCCCCCTCCCTCCCCGCGCCCGAACAGTTTCATGTTATTATGCGTTGGGTGTCTTGGGTACGTCCTCCTCCTACTCCTACTCCTCCTCATCACCATCATCCCTCTTCGTAGTGGTGGAAACACTCAGGCTGTTTTGAATGTGTTTTGACCTTATCCTCCTCCGCCTCCCCCCCCCCCCTCCTCCTCCTTATCATCCTTCCTCCTCCCCCCTCCGTCCTCCCTCGCTCCTTCCTCCCTCGCTCCCTCCTTCCTCGCCCCCTCCACCTCTTAAGTGTCTCCCTCCTCCTCCTCCTTCTTCCTCTTGCTCCTCCTCCATCTCCCTCCTCCTCCTCCTCCTAGCTCCTCCTCATCCTAGCTCCTCCTCGTCCTCCCCAATCCTCGCCTCATGTGTCCATCGTTCGTCTTGGGATCGGGGGCCGCCAGGGCCATGAGCGAGCGGGAATGGTGGCGAGGGTAACAGAGTATCTCGCAGAACGCGCCTAAAGCCTCATGGGCTGGTCGGGCTACTACACCGAGAGCTCCAAGGGCTGGGGGGGGCCTAAGCCGACCGCTGAGGCGTGGGCTGCAGCCGTCAAGGCGATCGACGACGCTGGGGGGAAGTCCTGAGACTGTAATTGTTGCACTATCATATATATAGCCAGGCTTTTCGCAGAACATACAAGCACTGCGTGCTAAGTTTCGGCTAACACCTGGCTCCCGAGAACGGGCTGTCAGTCTGGAGGGGCGTGTCAAGAAAGAATGTATGTTTCTCGCTTCGTCGATTGCGCGCCCTCGTTCTGGAGCGCGTGCTGGCGCCTCCGTCCGTAGCCCATTTCGCTCAGACCTCGGGCTTTGCAGCGTCTGCCGCAGTTTCGGATGCAGCCGCCGCGGGCTGCTAAGCTGCGCAGGCTTAATGAGTTCCGTCGCTCCAAGCCTCACTGTACGGCTTCTGATTTAGCGGCAATTCTGGCGGACGTGAGGGACAATGGGCTCCCAGAAGTCATAGATCGGAATTCCATGCGTGCCGCGAGGGATGCTGTTACCACAACTGTCGGCCAGTACGGCCCTATAGTACAAAGCTTTACGTGCGTTGATGCAGAGGAAGAACCAGCTAGCATACCCATCGCCTGCCCGTTCGCATCCTTAGCGGCAGCTGTCGAAGAGAGCGCGATTTTTCGGAAGTTTTTGAAGCGCCAGCTGATGCTTCACCCATCGACGCCCGAAAAGCCATGGAACTTGATTTTGCATTCTGACGAAGTCACACCAGGGAACCCCTTATCACCAGCCAACCAGCGAAAATTCCAATCTATTTATTGGAGCTTCTTGGAATTCGGCGTGAGCGCGCTCAGTCACGAGGAGAGCTGGTTTGTGCTGATGACTGAATTCTCCTGTTCTGTGAATTCCCTCTCTGCTGGGTTAAGCCAAGCATTCGCTGAGGCTATTAAATGTTTTTTCAAGCCTGATGGCTTTCATTTCCAATACGGTGGAATGACCCTTGACTTAGACGGGGATAGCTTCAGGCTGTCTGCTAAAGTCGGCGTGGTGTTGCAAGACGGGGGCGCTCATAAAGCTGTTTGGCAAGCAAGGGGCGACGGCGCGTCCAAGTTTTGTATGCTTTGTAAGAATATGTTCACAGCCGACTCAAGGGTTGTTGACGAAGATGGCTCAGCCATGCTGCGTTGCAACGAAATACATCTCGATGAGCTCGTGGCGTCCACTGACCATGAGCTTCGCACCAATGCCAGGTATCTGGAGCGCATGTCGCGGACTCTGTCTAATGAAGAGTTCGTTCTGTTGCAGCAAGCGCTGGGTTTAACATTTGCCAAACGAGGCTTGCTGCTCGATAGAGCCTTAGACAGGCTGATCAACCCAACAGAGGTGTTTATGCATGACTACATGCACGCGCTGTTCGTCGACGGTGTTGTGAATCTCGTGATCTACCTAACTTTCGAAGAGTTCATATCTGCTGGGCTTAATGGCGTATGGGAGTCATTCTCTGAGTTCTTGGCAACTTGGGTGTTCCCTGGAAGATTTCACGCTACGCATTTAGACAGCATTTTCAATGCTGATCGGAAAGATAAGCACAGAAAGGCCCAACACGTAAAATGCCAGGCGTCTGATTTATTGTCTATTCTTGGCGTTCTGATGCTATTCACTCAGACGGTCCTGCGACCTATGGGGGCAGCCAATGCAGCTTGCGACGCTATGATAGCTTGCGTTCAGCTGTCGCAGCTGGTAGTTGCAACCAGTCGGATCGACGTGAGCCCAGCGAGGCTTCTAGGTTGCGTTCATAAGTTCTTGGAATATTTCACTGCTGCTTTTGGATATGAGTCCCTGACACCAAAATGCCATTGGCTTCTCCACCTCCCTGAGCTACTCGAAAGAAACGGGAGGCTCTTGAACTGCTTCGTCCTTGAGAGGAAGCATAGAATGCCAAAGAGATACGCCACCGAACTGGCGAACATCTCTGGGTCAGCCAGCAAGTCGTTGCTGAGCGAATGCGTTGCCCATCACCTGTCAGCAATAACGAGCCACAGTTTCAATTATGGCGTCGGCTTGTTGCAGGGCCGCAAGGCGCCCAAGAAGAGCAGGCAGCTGATCTTGGACGCATTGGGTTTGGAAGGTGATGATATCCAAGTGAATGTGGGTAAAGATTCTCGCTTTAGCCAGCTCGGCTTATGCGCGCAAGGGGACGTTGTGCTTTTGAACGGCTCCGACGGCATACTTGCCGCCCGCGTGAAGTTGCATTTCGAGGTCAGTGGAGAAGCTGTTTCTATGATGGAGGTTATGGAACTTTCGCGGCGCATCCCTGGTACTGCAAAGGCAGTGTGGAAACTTTCTGCGACTCCAGTGGAGTGTTGGGAGACCAAAGCCATTTTGGCTGCAGTAGAACACTGCGCGTACGCAGACGGCACCGTCGGCACTATCCTGCCATTGGAGTTTTCATGATGGGATTTGCTGGCGCTTTGCGCTCAGGAGAAAAAATCGCATACGCTTCGCGTAGCCCCACCGCACAGCCCATCCAGAAACGATGTCTGCGCATTAAAGCCATTGCGGCTGAATGCAGATGAGAAATGAGGGGTGGTGGGTCTTCTGCTCCGCTCCTCCTCCTCCTCATCATCATCCTTCTTGCTCCTTCTGCATCCTCCTCCTGCAGGCGCCTGCTGCTGCTGTCCTCCTCCTCCACCCCAAAGCGGCATGCTGAAACCGCGGGGCCCTGACGACGACCACGACGACAGATGGAGATGCAGAGACGACATTCGGCGGCGGACCTGGTGCTACGCGCCCGCCCCTATGTATGCGGTGTAACCTATGTGGATGCAACCTATGTGGTGTATTATGTGCTATGGTACAACCTATGTGGCGCATGCTAAGCGGTGCAACAACTTATGTAGTATGCGGTGCATCCTACGCGGTGCAACTTGCGTAGTGCAAGCTGCTGCGAGAAGTAACACAAGAACTTCTGATAGCATCGCATTTTTATGGCTTGTTAAAGCGAACGCTAAAGTTTATAAAGTTTATAACTCTGTTTTGGATAACTGCTGATAAACTTTATAAGTCCGCTAAACTTTAGCTAAACACTATAAACCTTAACAAACCAAGGATGCATCTCAGTAGCGGCCCGACAAAGGCCCGCCCCCCACCCAGGGACGTGCCGTTGAGCTAATTGTCGGCGGCCCCTCGCTGGCCGGCAGCCTCTCCCGTGCGGTGTCTCGCCGGGGGGAGCTCTTGCTGCCGGGGGCCTCTGGCGGCCGATGTCGGGGCGGTCCGGGCACCGCCGGGGCGCTCGCGGCGAGGCGCAGCTGCAGGAGGGCATCCCCAGGGTGGAAAGCCTCCGAGAGCCCACGAAAACGTTCGAAGACCTCCAGGCGTGATTGTATCGCCGAGTCCACGTCGAGGAGCACGGCTTGGAGAGCCAAGCGAGCCTGCCCATAGAAGGCCAACATCTGGGGCCGACGCCAAATGCCGTTCTCGCGTCCTGGCCAACAGCGACCATGGACACAGTGGGCGCGGTGACGTCCATAGACACTCTCGGGGTGGATGCGTCTATGGACCACGTGGCCGCTGCGTTCGGCGCGGTGCCAGGCCGGAGATAGGGTAGATCCGTCTACGGCACGTTCCTGTTCCAGAGCAGGTCCCATACAGTCGGGGCCCTGAAGAAGGAACCCTTTTCGTTGGGGAGGGGCTCCGCGTTCCTTGAGTGTTTCGCAGCTTGCCTCAGGTTGTCCTTATGTTTTCGATCGGAAAAATCGAAGTTTAACTCATGGGAAAAAAGGGGCCTCGTTCCTTATTTAGGGTTCCTTAGGTCGAGGCCCCGATCTATGGCACTCCAGAGTGCATCCCCCCGGAGCCGCCCCCCCCCCCCCCCCCGAACGTTCCGCATCGAAGAGGCCGTGGCGTCCGTCGCCGTGGGCGCCGGCGGCCAGGCCCTGTCGACGGGGCCGCTGGGGTCCGGGTGGCTGCGGGCCCCCGAGGCTCGGAGGAGAAGAAGGGCCGGAGGAGGAGGAGGAGGAGGAGGAGGAGGAGGAGGAGGAGGAGGAGGAGGAGGAGGAGGAGAAGAAGGGCTTTGCAAAAGACGCGAAGATCGGGACAAAGTCGGATCGGGATAACTCGAAATCTCTGAGAATCGGCGGGTTTGGAGGATGTATTGGGCGCCGCGGCCGCTCCAGGGCGTTCCGGAACGCTCCGAGAGCGCTCTGGAGCGATTTATCCCGATCCTGGCCCTGTTTTGAGAAGGGATTTGCACAAACATCGAGGGAAGAAACATGGCGACCAGGACCAAGATTTCGCGGAATCCTGCCGATGCCGAGCTTGGTCATGGCCCATGCTGGCCGTGGCCGGTTCCCGAGGATGCTGCACGATTTCACGCCGGCCAGGATGGACGGTGACCAAGGTTGACACGCGTTTTCGCGTTCAGTCTTGGTCATGGTCCCCGTTTCCCCCCCCCCAAAACAGAAGCGTTCGGAGATCCGCGCGGACTGCTTGGTTTAAGTCGGGCCTGTCCCTCTACAGGAAGGAAATTCAAAATGGTCAAATCATAGTATGGGGGCTGTTTTTGTTAGTGTCTTGTTCTAGCTTTCTGGACTATTTTTGATTCTTCATCGAAAATCGGCCTGTAGGGGGACAGGCCCGACCTAATGAATGCTTGGTTCGCCGCCAGGGAGGTGGGCCAGCGCCGGTTCCGGCCTGCCTAATAGGCCCACCAAAGAATGCTCTGAGAACCTCTTGGAGTCTACACGAGAAGCGATCTTAGAACATTGCTGGCCGAGATTGCACTGTGTCTGCGCATCGGGCTTGTGTTCTAAGAACCTTGTATTGGTTCTGAGAACATGTTTGGATTCTAACAACATCCAGCGGTAGGCCTGTAGGAATGCTGGGAAGGTCGGTCCCTGCACAGACATGATCTTTCGGAGCACCGCGCGGATTGCTCAGGCCGCCGCCAGGGAGGGGGTCCAACGGGGGTCCAGGAAGCCCGCGCGCAGCTCCGTACGCGTTTGGAAAAGGCACCGCTTCCGCTACCACTTCCTTCGTTTGCGCTTTTCGGGGTCCTCATGTAGGAGGCCCTCGTCGCCACGGCTGGATTCGCGTCGACGGTCTGGTCGGAACGCGCTCTAGAAGAGGGCCAGGGAGCACGGCAGTTTCGTGTCGTGTCGACCGGCGGCGACCCCGCCGCCGGCGTTCCGCGTGGGGCGACGCCGGCGACCCGGAATCGGGCCGGTGTTGAACGATCTGACGTTTCGGAAAAGGGCGATCGTCCAAGATTCAACGATCTCCGCGGTGTCACGAACCAACGCCGGGGTTAAAGTCGGGCCTGTCCCGCTACAGGGGGAACGTTCAAACATAGTTTTAAACAAAAGTATGGGGACGACTTTTTGAGCATGCTTGGGTTATTTTGGAATATCTGTGGGGTATGTTTGATTTTTTCTTTTTAAAATTCCCGTGTATGAGCAGGCCCGACCTAACGCCGGGGCCGGCACGACACGAACCCGCCGCAGAGGCGTCGCATCGCCCGGGGTTCCCTCGTCGGCCCGAGAGGCGGCCGTGCAGGGCGACCCCTTCGCCTTCGCCGACGCCCGCTCCGAGGCGCCGTTTTGCGTCTTGCCGCGCGCCTTCGCGCGGCCGCCGCCGCCGTCGCGGGTCGGCCGGACACGGGGGGGGATTGTGGGATCCGAGGAGGAAGAGGTACCGATACCGCTACCTTTGCCTCGTCTTCGTTTGTTTTTTGGTTGGTCCTCCCGGGAGGCCCTCGTCGCCACCGTCGGATGCGCTTCGAGATGCTGGTCAGAACGCGCCCCAGGAGAGGTCCGGGGAGTTCACTGGAGACCCGTGCCAAGGAACACCCTGCTTGCCTCCAGGGTGCCCTGGGTTCCTTGGGCTTCGATGGTTCTGCGACGAGAAGCGTGACGCTCCCACACCAAAAGCCAAGGGACGTTCTGGGGTCTCAGGGTTGGGTTTCTCGAGAATTTTCTGTGGGTGGAGGACAAAGGATGAAATCTGCAATACCGTTCCGATTGATTGCCGAGGATTGCTTCTGCAAAAGAAGAATCACAAGACGGATTGGTTTTCGATGCGCAAAAGCGCATCTGGATTTCAACTTGGGCCCTCCACCCTAAGAAACTGCTCTGGTTTCTCGTGGAAGGCTTCTGGCGGACTGGCCTCCATGGGCTTCCCCAATCGGAGAGGTGGGCGCGGCGCGAGCTCGGGTGTCGTGTGTGCTTCGGCCCTGCCGCCGCTCGGCGTTTTTTTCCACTGAAGACGGTGGCGCGCCTCCCCCGCGCCCTGGAGGCGCCGGAGAATGCTGGCCACGGGAGCTGAGGTCGCTGGTCCCTGGAGGGGGAACGTTCAGTTGAGGGGAACCAGCTTAGGGGTATGTCGGGCCTGCCCCTCTACAGGAGGAATATATTCATATATATATATATATATATATATGTGTATATATATATATATATATATATATATATTCCAAAATATTTTAAGCCATCTTGTCTGGGGGCGATTGCTTGACTACACGTTTGACTTTGAGTGTATTGTTTGCCTATTTTTTATTTGTCGCCCAAAGTCCGCCTGCAGGAGGACATGCCCGACCTAAGCTTAGGGAGGGGAGCATCGACCTGGGGTCGGCGATAGATCACCCATAGAGATCGGCGATAGGCCCCCGATGGCTGATCCGCGCGTTCCTCGGCGGAGTAGGCGCCGATCTGCGATGCATGGGCGGTTGGGGCCAACGCATTCGCCCCTGAACTTTTTCGACCTCGACGGTGCCTCTGATCCCTCCATTGCCATGGCCCCCCTTTCGCATGCCCCGATCGTCGTCGTCGTATCGTCGTCGTCGTCGTCGTCGTCGTCGTCGCCGTCGTCGTCGTCGTCGTCGTCGTCGTCGTCGTCGTCGTCGTCGTCGTCGTCGTCGTCGTCGTCGTCGTCGTCGTCGTCGTCGTATCGTCGTCGTCCTCGTTGTCGTCGTCGTCGTCGTCGTCGTCCCCGCTGGTCGAGGCTACCCTGGGGGGCGCCCGCCTCGGAACCCTCGACCGGGCGACTGCGGTCCCCCCATGGGGCCTCGGGGGCCCAGGCCCTCGGCACCGTCTGCCCCTCTCCCGGGTGTGGGCCCCCGGTGGGGGCCCTGGCCTAGGCTGGGGTGCCATTTGTATGGGACGAACCCAGACGTGGTCGCGGCAGAAGCAGGATCAGGACGGGAGGTTTCTGGCAATTTTCGGCCTCGGGGGGCCCTCGCCGGGCCTCGGGACCGTCACAACACGATTCAGGATGAAGAAAACGGGTCCCGGGGAAAGGGTCGGGACACCCAGGGACCCCGTATTGGAAAAAGCGCAGGACGTCGCATGTCTGGGAGGAACAACGGCTGCGTCTTCACCGACGTTGGATCTGCCTCTCCTCCGACCTCGTGCTGCGCCGAACGCAGCGGCCGCGTTGTCTGTACACAGGCGCGTCCACCCCGAATGTTGCCCATCATAGTCGGTATCGTTCGACCGACCCCCAGCCCCATCCTCATCCCCGTCGAGGCCCCCACCGAATTGCCGCCCCAGCTGGGGAGACACCCCTCGAAACCCGCAGGGGCCGGCCCACATCCCCACCTTTGGGGGGGGGGGGGGAGTCTTCCAGCGGGGCCCGGGCCGCGCCGCTGGGGACGGGGCTCGGCCCAACGCTGCTCCCCACAGGACGGGAAAAAGCGCCTCGCACGTGCGAGCCGTCGGGCGGGAGAAGGCGCGGAACCCATAGGGCGGAGGAGGTCTCGAGGGGGGGGGGGGGCGGCCGGCCGACCTCCGGCTGGTGGCGGGGAGCGCGCAATCGCCGCGGGCGATCCGCCAGCCGGGAGACAGACTCGAGGGGGGCGGCAGCCAGGCCCCCAGATCTGATGTCGGGCGATCGCAAATCTGGACGACGGGAAGCGCGCGCAGCCTGCGATCCGTGAGCCGGAAGGAAAGAAAGTTTTGGAGGGAGGTGGAGGGGGCGGCATCCCGTCCCCCAGGGATCGAATGCCCTTTTCCTTGTTAACATGGCATTTGACATGGAAAGGCGGGAGACATGAAACCAGGGGGAGTTCGAGGGGGGCGGCAGCCAGGCTCCCAGATCCGATGTGGGGCGATCGCAAGCACATGGGGGGCGTGGATTTGCGACGGGTCCCGCTTCCAGGGGAACTCGCGGACTTCCGCCGCCGAGCGAGGCAGCCCGTTGCCGCATCCTTGGGGAGGGCACCTGCCCCGGTCCATGGATTTGGCGACCGCGCGCCAAATCCATGGATCGCTAATCCATGTTTGCGCCCCCCCGATCTAATGGCAACCGTTTCCTCCCGAGAGTCCTCCAGTGGCCTCAAGATAGCTCAAGACGGTCCAAGATGGCCTCCAAGACGGCTCCATACGGGTCAAGAGGCCTGCAATTTCGCCCAAGATGTGTCCAAGACAGCCCAAGAGGCCTCCAAGACGGTCCAAGTGGCCTCCAAGACGCCCCCAGAGGCCTCCATAGAGGGCCCACAGATGCACAAATCATAATTTGTTCCATGGGTTTCGCATGTTTCTGGGGTTCTCGCGTTTCGGCTTCCCGAAGCTCCAAGACGGCCCCAGAGGCCCCCAAGATCGTTCCAAGACGTCCCAAGAGGCCCCCAAGACGGCCCCGGGGAGGGCCCAAGAGGGCCCCAAGACGGTCCAAAAAGGCTTCCAAGACGGTCCAAGAGGCTCCCAAGACGGCTCCAGGGTGGGGGCCCAGACGGGGCACTCGAACGGACTCTTCGGGCCCTCGGCCCCAAGACGCCCCCGGGACGCCCCCCCCGAGAGGCCCCCGGCGAGAGGCCCCGAGCGGCCCCCCTGCAGGAGGCCGCGGAGGCTCCCGCCGGCGCCCAGGAAGCCGGGCGTCCGGGCCTTCAGGAGGTTTCGAACCGTCTCCTCCTCCTCCTCCTCCTCCTCCTCCTCCTCCTCCTCCTCCTCCTCCTCCTCCTCCTCCTCTTCCGATTCCTCCTCCTCCTCCTCCTCCTCCTCCTCCTCGAACCGTGGCTGCAGCAGCAGGGCCCTTTAGACGCTTGCGGCCAGAGAGTGGGAGGGGCGTTTGGCACGGGCCCCACACGTCTGGGGCGTTCCCTTAAGAAGGGCCTTGCCTTCGAGGATGGAAGGAAGGAGTTGTCGTCTCTTCGGCGGCGGAAGGCGGCGGAAGTAAAACGAGGCCGCCGCCGCCAGCGGAAGCCGGCGGAAGATCGGCGGAAGGCGGCGGATGTGAAAGATGCGCCCACAAGAGATGAATTTTTTTTGGGGTTCAGGGTTCCCGAAATTGCCCAGTTGTCTTCCAGAAGCAGTCCGACTCTGCCCTCCAAATCCTGGCCGGGGCTGTGCTGGGCCCTGGGCATGGAGTTTCCGCCAGCCCTCGGGGCCGAGGCCAGCCGGGGGCCGGGGCAGCTCCAGTCCGGCATATGGTGCTGGTGTGCGGGTGCAGTCTGCGGAGCAGCAGCTCTCTGTGCACCCAGAGCTCCGACGTCCCCCCCCCCGAAGCTGGAGCGGCGGGATTTCGGCAGCATTCGGCCTCCGGTGGCCCTCGCCGGGCCTCGGGTGCGTCAAAGAACGACGCGGGACGGAGAATCCGCCTCGGGGAAGCGGTCTGGACCTTTCAAGCAGTGGCGAGGCGTCCCGGCTCGCCTGTAGCCCCACCGAGCAATGTTCTGAGAACCTGTTGGGTGGTTTCCACGGGATGTTCTCAGAACACTTCTGGCTGGGACTGGCTTGTTTTATCACATCGGCTTCATGTTCTAAGAACGCTGTTCCTGTTCTTAAAACTCAGGAGCGAAAGAAGGACGTACATGTACATGAATCCGCGCTGGTTTCGAGAGCTCGCATTGCACAAATGTTCGTATCACGCGGCCGGTCTCGCGGGTCGAGGGGCCGTTTTCATGTACATAGCTGGGCGCGTACGTCCTTTGTGGGCTCCCTAAGAACATTTGCAGGTTCTGAGAACATGTCGTGGTTCGTGGCATGACTAATAGGAATGCCGGGACGGTCGGTCCCTGCTCGACCAATTGGGGCCCACGTCGCCCCGGCCGGGCGTGTCCTCCCAAAAAAGGAGGCCCCCCCAAAAAAGGAGGCTTGGGCCCCCCAAAAAACCCAGACCCCCTCGAGTAATGAAAAAATCCGGGGGTGGACAGAACCCCCAACAGTGACACGTCGATTAGTGAATTGTCCGTTTTCGGTTCTCGAGAGGGCGCCGCTGCCGTTATTTTCCAGGCTTGCGCACGCCAGGTTTGGGCCTCAGGTCGTTTTCCCTAAACCACGTTTTACTAAAGGGTGGTCTGTCCATCCCCGAAAAAACATGACGGGAGGTTCTTCCAAATTTTCGGCCTCCGGGGGCCCTCACAGGGCCTCGGGAACGTCAAAAAACGACTCGGGATGCAAAGCCAGTCATGGGGAAAGGGTCGGGACCTCCGGGGGTCGACGTAATGACAGAATCATTACGTCGGGGGTCTGGGAAGGAGGCCTGGGCCACGTCGCCCCGGCCGGGCGTGTCCTCCCGAGCCGTGAATTCTGGCGGCGGGGCCCGGCAGGGTCCCTCGTGCAGCAGCAGCCGAGGATGTCTCAGAACCTCCCGGGCTGGTTGTCGGCGACGATTTCTTCGAACGCTTCGCCGCCAGCCGTGCTCAGGAGCTCCGCGACGGTCCCCGCGCTGCCGGTGCCCTTGCCTCCTCGGGGGCACTGCCAGTCCGCCGCCTGCACGATCCGCGCGCCCCGCGGCAGGCGCCGACGATGGTGAGCTTCCACAGGCTCGGTTAGGCGGCCAGCCCGCGAGCCGTCGCTGCTCCAGGGCAGTGGAAGGGGTAACGATGGGGGAGGAGGAGGAGGAGGAGGAGGAAGAAGAAGAGATGAATAATAATAAATAATAATAAGAACAAGAAGAATAATAAGAAGAGGAGGAGGAGGAGGAGGAGCAGGGAGGAAAATGATGAGGAGAAGGAGGAGGAGGAGGAGGAGGTCCAGCGTAAACCCAAGGCGCATCAACGCTGTTGCAGTGCACCCTTCCTCGCAGTTCCATCCCCATAGGTCCCTAAAATAATTTGTATTTTCAGTGCGGGCAGTGGCCCTTAGAACAGCGTCTCAGAATATTCGGTCGTGCTCGAATGGAGTTCTTGGGACTTCAGCTCCGCGGATGAACGTGACTGCTGTGTCTGCACAATCCGAAATCGTCCAGATAGCTTCTCCTGGCACTTCAATACCACGCGTCAGCGTTGTTTGTTTGGTCCCGACGATCCGAGATTTTGCCAGAACGCCATTTCTGGGACTCCAGCCATACGAATATTTCAAATCCTTGCACATGTTTCAGACGAGAGTCCCAATCTGGAAAGGAACCGCCTTCCTTCCTTGATACTGCTGCAAACGTATAAGACGAATGTGCGCGGCGCTAAGGCGAGAGCCACATTTTGAAACCGGCCCGCCCTTCATCCGTGAAACTGTTGCAATCGTTTACGACTAATGCGCGTGGGGCTAAGGCGAGAGCCATTTTTTGAAAATGGCCCGCCCTCCATGCGTAACACTACTGCAAACGTTTATTGCGAATGTGCGCGGGGCTCAGGTGCGAGCCACATCTTGAAAACGGCCCGCCCTCCAGCGAAACGTCCAACCCGCCCTACCGACACGTCTGGGGGTGCGACATGGAGGAGTTATTGAAATAGATGGTGGAGGAGGAGGAGGGAGAGGAGGATGGAGGATTGAGGATGGGTTAAAGTATGGAGGATGCAGGAGGAGGAGGAGAAGGAGGAGGAGGAGGAGGAGGAGAAGGAGGAAGAGGAGGAGGAGGAGGAAGTTGGAGGGAGGAGAGGAGGAGGAGGAGGAGGAGGAGGAGGAGGAGGAGGAGGAGGAGGAGGAGGATGAGGAGAGGGAGGAGGAGGAGGAGGAGGAGGAGGAGGAGGAGGAAGGAGGAGGAGAGGAGGAGGGAGGAGGAGGAGGAGGAGGAAGGAGGAGGAGGAGGAGGAGGAGGAGGAGGAGGAGGAGGAGGAGGAGAGGAGGGGAGGAGGAGGAGGAGGAGGAGGAGGAGGAGGAGGATGAGGAGGAGGAGGAGGAGGGAGGAGAGGAGGAGGAGGAGGAGGAGAGGAGGAGGGTGAGGAGGGGGGAGGAGGAGGGAGGAGGAGGAGGAGGAGGAGGAGGAGGAGGAGGAGGAGGAGGAGGAGGAGGAGGAGGAGGAGGAGGAGGAGGAGGAGGGAGGAGGGGTTGGAGGAGGAGGAGGAGGAGGAGGAGGAGGAGGAGGAGGAGGAGGAGGAGGAGGAGGAGGGGATGGCACGCGGGGCGCGTGCGCCCACACGTGCTGTGCCACGTTCCGGGGCGTGCCCAATGAGAGGGTTTGAGGACCGAGGGCGGCGTGGAGGTCCAGGCCAGGGCGGTGTGGGCGGTGTCTCCCGGAGCTCGCTCCTCCAGTTTTCTCGCCTTTCAGTACGCCTTTCAGTACGTTCTCCGTTATTATTATTGTTTTCTGTTGTTTATAATTATTATTATTGGTATTGCTATCATTATTTGTAGTATTATTATTGTTATTTGTATTGTTATTATTATTGCTATTGCTATTGTCATTGCTATTATTACTATTATTATTATTATTCTTATTATTATTATTACTAATACTATTATTATTAATAATAATTAATTAATTATTATTATTAATATTATTTATTAGTATTATTATTATTATTATTATTATTATTACTACTAGTATTATTATTATTATTATTCGCCTCTCAGTGCGCTCCCTGGCCCCCCTCCCCCCTCGCCCGCGGTCCGCGCACGTGCTTCGGGCCATGGTGAGATGGCCCCTCTCCCTGGGCACCCGACGTCGTCACCTTCTCGCGGAGTGGGCCCCCGGTGGCCTCGACCTCTTCCCAGGGATCGCTGTTCCGTCCCTGGCTGCTTTCTCGCGGCCCAGGGGCCTGGCAAGGGCCCCCCGCAGGCTGAGGACTGCTGCACACTTCCCAGCTTGATTTTGGCGACGATTCGCAGTCCGCTCGAATCCGGTCCCCCGACCCGACCCGTTTCTGGGGGCGGGCAATTCGGTCCCCCAGGTCCGTCCCGACCCGTTTTTGGGGGGCGGGCCCAGCCGTGGCGACGAGCAGCCTCCAGGAGGCCCACAAATGGTTTCTGACGCCCAGCTCGGATGCAACTCCTGGGATGGTCCGAAATTCGGCTTCCCGCTTAATCCGAGGCCCACTCCGGCGTAACAGCCCCCCCAATGGGGCTCAATCCTGATTAATCCTTCCGGCGAAGACCTCCCAGTAGTTGCTTCCTAACCAAAAATAGTAGAAAACGTCCAGGGATGTCTTATTCGTTTCGGTATGGGTCGGCTCGGCCCCCTTCTTGGGCACTCCCGGCCGCTGCAGTGTCTTGCTTTTTTTCCGTCCGAGAGCTCCAGCTTCGGGGTAGTGCCAAGGGAGCCAAGGGGGGTCACCACTACAGTGAATACGCATGCCAAGGAACCCCCATGCCAAGGAACGCCCTTGGTTTTTTGGGTCTCGATGGGTTTGCGATGGAAAGCGTGAAGTTCCCACACCAAAGATCAATGGACGTCCTGGGGTTCCAGGGTTGGGTTTCTTGTGTGAGGTTTCTTGTGGCCAGGCTCCTACTGTTTAGGGGGGTCACCAGCCCGAGGAGGTTGTTGCATGGCTGGGGTGACTTTTCGGGGGTGATCTGCGGGGCCCACTCCCTCGACGCGACGGCCTTTCCTCTAGGCCTCCCAGATGGGGTCGGAGTAGGTGGGGTCGGAGGCTCGCACCGCATCGCCGATGCATCGGCGATGCATCGGCGATGCATTGGCGATGCATTGGCGATGCGGCTCGATGTGAGACTGTGTTTCCCCACGCCGACGTCGCCGATGCATCGCCGATGCATCGGCGATGCATTGGCGATGCGGCGCGATCCTTCGACGCCATCTACTCGGACCCCATCTAGGAGGCCTCTATTTCCCCAGGGAGAGGGGCGGCCCCCCCTGGTGGTGACTCCCCTTGGCGCTGCTGCCGCCGGTTGTCACATAGCGGGCGCGCCGCGAGCTCTAGCGCCGTGCCGCCGCGCGCCTCCCACGGCGAGATCCCTGTGTTTCGGGGGCTCCTCCCGCGGCCACCACCGTTGCGGAGCTGCTGCTCGCCGCGGAGGGCAGTCGTCGTCCTCGTCGTCGTCGTGGTCGTGGTGGTCGTGGTGGTCGTCGTGGTCGTCGTGGTCGTGGTCGTGGTGGTCGCTGTCGTCGTTGCTGGTGGCGGTGGTATACCATGCCGGTGGTGGTCGCGGTCGTCGTCATCGTCGGTGGTGGTGGTGGCGGAGGTCGTCGTGGTCGAGGTGGTGGTGATGGTGGTGGTCGTGGTGGTCGTTGTCGTGGTCGTGATAGTGGTCGTCCTGGTCGCGCAGAGGATAAACAGATACTTACCGTTACCGTTTCTTGTTTTGTTTCGCCTTTTTGGGCCTCCTGGGATACCCTCGTCGCCACGGCTGGTTTCGCCTCGAAACTCAGAAAGTTTAGCAGTATCGGTATATTTTGGTCTCCCTAGTCGTGGTTGCGGTGGTGGTCGTTCCATTTCCTGCTCCTGCTCCTTCTCCTTCTCCCCCTCGTTCTTTAGAGGAAGATGAAGATCGGCACAAACCCGAACTGTCGGAAGTCCGCGCGGATTTCTGGTGTCGGCGCTGGGCGCCCCTGGCAGCGCCTCCGGCGCCGCCAGGGAGGGTGGTCCAGTGGTCCAGTGCCGATCCAAGATCCGCGCGGACCTCCAAAAGTTCATGTGAGCTAAAGTGGGGTGTTCCAAAAAGGGCCTTGCCGTGGACGATAGAAGGAGCTGTCATCGCTTCCGCGTAGAAGGCGGCGGAAGGCCGGCGAAAGTAAACCGAGGCTGCCTCCGCCGGTGGAAGCCGGCAGAAGGGCGGCGGAAGGCGGCGGAAGTAAAAGATGCGCCCCAAGAGATGAAAACGTTTTTGGGTTCAGGGTATTCGAGATCGCTCACTGAATGTTTCCTCGCGGAAGGGGTCATGATGGGAAGGAGTCCTGGAGATGTTTGCCGTATCTGGGAGCCCTCCACGGGACCGGGGACCGTCAAAGACGATTCGGGACGAAGCATTGGTCCTGGGGGAAGCCCCAGTTGGACGGCTCGCTCCATCATAGCCCCATCGGAATATCTCTGCCTCCTCCTGTCCTCCTCCTCGTCGTCGTCCTCCTCCCCCTCCTCCTCCTCCTCCTCCTCTTCCCCCTCCCCCTCCTCCTCCTCCTCTTCCCCCTCCCCCTCCTCCTCCTCCTCCTCCTCCTCCTCCTCCTCCTCCTCCTCCTCCTCCTCCTCCTCTTCCTCTTCCTCTGCCACCTCACCAAGCCTGGCTCCGTGCACATCGCGCGCCCTGTGTTAGGCAGGGCGAGCGGCGTCGGGCGCCATCCCAGCTGCCGGCCCATGCGAGCAGAGAGGGCAGGAAGACAGGACGCGGGCGCAGTTGCTTGGCCCTTGCGCATGCCGCCTGCGGTCAGAAGCGGCCTCAGTCAGAGAACGAAAAGTTCCCGACACTGCTACCCCTCCCTCGTGTTCGCCTCTTTGGCCGCGCTGTCGCACCACTGCGCAGGAGAGAGAAGTTGGTTGAAGTTCAGAGTGTGAAAGTAGATAGAACCAGATAGGATTAATATTGTCAAATCATAGAAAACAGTGGCATGAACAACGGTTGTGATGCACTGCATGTATGTATGCTCATATTCCCCTTTCAGAGCTTGCCTCTGTAGGAGTCCTAGCGGATTCATATGGTTTGTTTAGGTTTGTCGCCGAATTTCTCTGCACGCCCGGGTGCCCGGGGGTGCCCTGGGGTGCCCGGGGCCTGGG